ATGTTTCATAACAAATAGCTATATTGAAGGTGGTATGGAAGTCTGAGACAACAGCATCTTCAGCTAGGGGTAACTCTGAATGTAGACTCCACGTCAGTGTATTGTTTTGGGATGTACGACAAACACATGAACATTTCTGAATCAACTGATTTCAAAAATTATTCTAAAGCATAATTAGACAGTTTGATCAAAAATACATAACTTCAAGAACTTCACAAAGATGGTATACAGATAGGTTGCTAGCATATAAACTTGAAAATTAGCTTTTGTAACTTAAATGGTATAAAACAGTTGGATACAGAACTGGCAAAAAGCAAAGGATACGTGTGTCAAAAAATGCCTAAAATAATAATAATAATCCATCCAGACATTTGTAGAATTTAAGCCGAGGTGCACGTTTTCATCTCCAATGCTCTATTAGAGCACTTCACTGATGTTTGTGTGTGTGCGTGTGCGTATGTGTTTGTGTAACCTCTCATCCTGATCAGGGTTGCGGGCGTCCGGAGCCGATCCCGGAGGCTACAGACGCAAGGCTGGATGGATTATTTATGATGATAAAGCATTTAACCCCTTTATGTATACATGAGATATTTAATTTACCTGTAAAGCTGGTTTCTTGGTAACAATTTTACTCAAACCGACTAAACATTTTTACTTTTTACTTATTTTGGTAATTCATTCGTCATTAAGGTCAATCGTGCATTTATTATTTGTGTCTGGTTACTGAACACTGACAGTTACTCTCATGAGAACAAGCATAAAAAAACAAGTTTGCTTTCGTTACTGTTTCAGCATTTTTCTGCCCCCATGTGGAAAAATATGACAAGCGAACACAATCCAATGTCTTACATCAGTTTATTACTGCGTGTTTTTTTAGTACTAAGCCGTTCATCTCCACTGTCTATAGATGTGGCATATATATTATAAACTAAACTTGTGAATGATCTGGCACTCGCATACTGCAATTTATCTTGGCAGCGAACTTGGTCCCTTTAATTATCCTACAAAGACTCTAAATGCAAAGAACCCAAAGTACTAACAGTTCCTCTATATTGGAATCTGCTTTAAAATTTCTTTAACTCTTTCTGTAACAATAAAACAAACAAATAATAATAATAATAAACTTTCTATAGTAATTTGAGCATAATGTCCAGTGTTTTATTGCTTAAGGGGAAAATTATACAGCAAAAGATAGTTTATGAGTTTACTTTTACTTGCCGCAGATCCGCAAAGGGTTGTAAAAGAGCAGGTGGAATTCACGTGGCTCGTCGCCACATGTACCACTGTTCCTGTCGTGTCTTACGGTCCCGGATACTGGAACAAGAAGGATTTCATTGATCAAAAGTAACATTGTTTCTCTGCACGTTGGGTGTGTCTCAGATGGATTATAGTCATTTGGCTGTTTTCAAAATAACGTCCTCTCTGTTGATTTTTCATGGTGCGAAAGACGACAGAAGGGTTTCCTTGTGCAAACTACATTCTTTGCATAAGGAAAACGTGTTAGAGTTATGAGACATTTGAGTAACGGTTACCACACATTCTCTACCCTTCGACCTGAGGAAATTTGCATCTTTGATAAACATCTTTGGATGTCATGCATGCAGTCATTAAAAGTAATGTTCTTTAAACGATCCGTCAAAATTATTTCCAACCTTCTCTCAATTAGAATCTTTCATATTTGACTAATTCTGCCTACGAACATAATCTCATCCGTCCATCCATTTTCTACAACCGCTTGTCCTGTCAGGGTCGCGGGGGATTCGGCACCGATCCCGGAAGCTAAGGGCTCAAGGTAGGGATCAGAACCCCGGACTGGGGACACACACGGACACCTAGGGGCATTTTCGAAAATCCAATTTACCTTAACGTGTTCTTGGACTCTGGGGGGTGTTTCTTTGATGGCGAAGTTACTTTTCAAACCCCCTTTTTCATTTAGCACCTGATCAGTATCACGTTGAACAATTATAATGATCCATAATATAAGGTCGTCAGCGTAAGATTTATGAAACAGAACACATGCATTATATACTGTAAAATTATAATGCAAACCTCAATCATCCACCCAGTACAGGGTCGAAGGGACAAGCAGCAATTATTATAATAAAATGTTGCTTGATACCTACTGATTATGTTCACAGAATACTACGCTTTTACAGAAGACTTGTATTCGCCATGTAGTCTTACTATAATCACGAATTTAATAATCGATCAATTTGGAAAACGGTTAAAATATTACTGAACTTTATAACAATGAATAGGTCGGTGCTAACTGAGGGGCCCCAACTATGAACTCACAGCATTAGCTATGCAGGTTCGATTCCCCGCGCCTCCCCCCCAGCTCTGTGTTCGTAGCTTTTGTGTTTCAAAAACGAACATGCGTTTCATCGTGCGCGATGTTTTTCAGATATTTTGTGTCGTGTTCATTATAAATTAGGCCTATTCGTTACAAATGTTATTTTTCGCTTTCATATCCGTGAAGTGTCTATTCTCAATCATCTTAAGCCTCCATTTCCTATAGGTTTTCAATAAGGGAAAAACGTTATCAGTTTTACCACATTGTGGTGATATATATATAACTCACACACATACACACATACAAACACACACAACCCAAGCTATTTACGAAAACAGACAATTTTCCTTACCCCCACTCATCCCCAAGTTGAAATTGTTCGAACAGCTGGTTACTGCTAGATTCTGGTGCATGTCTCTATATGCACGTCCTGATTTTCATAACTTTACAAAAATTAATTCAAATTAACAACACCCTTAATGTTCTTAAATTGTTACACTGGCTTAATTGGCTTTAATTGATAAGGTTATAAAAGCTTCTTTGGGGAAATTCCACATACCTAAATTTAGGGTTGTTCCAATAAACCTAACATTGTATTATTTTACATTGCTTTTAAAACTATTTTATGACAACCTGTCCACATTATCACTTAATAAAAATCAGTTAAATATCCATTATTTGGGGGGGGGGATATTTCTTTAAAGATATCATTGCTTGCCTGAGATTGTACATAAAAAGTCATGACGGAATATTCTAAGATTTGACCTTTAGGGGGTGCTCAGCCCACAATGAAGTATGCGAGTTGTATTAAACAACCACTTGTATGCTCTTCTGTGTTCTGAGCAAAATACAAGTAAGCTTTACTGTAGAATCTTCGGTTCGGTTCAAACCAACCAATCGAAAAAGAGGTGGAGTAATCAGAGAAGAATTTCATTATAATTTACTGCTGCACGTGGTGCTGCTTGACAGTCAGGTTTTACACAAAAAGTTTTGCACTAAATAGTTTAGTCGTGGAACTGAATTAATAAATGAGCATTTATGCTGACTGAGAGAAAGGAGGGGGACTTTAATCCCCCTAAATGAAGCCTAGTACTTAACGTTGCCCGAATTTATAGGGCCCAAAACTTTGCAAATACAAGACCTTTATTGAAAATTCTGCTTTCCTTACAAAGGAACTTCCGGGTGTTTGCGCAAGCGCAGTTCTTCTCGCAATCACGAGTTGCATTTCATTTCTAAGTTTTAATTTTGGAGTGTTTCTACTGAAGTAAAAGTCAGCAAATGATAGTCAGTCAGTGTTCCTGTCAGGTATGTAACAATAAACAAATTAGATTATAAACGTTTGTTACTTTAATTAAATTGTTAATTTAACGAAAGGTTAGGTTATTATTGTTCTAGTATTCTGGAGTTTTTAGAATTTAACTGACATGGCTTCAAGTTGTACCTCAGTTAGAAAAATTACTGCTCTCTCACGCTCAGTTCGTATTTAATTTAAAACACACTACCCACTTCTGTACTAGTATTGTGTTTATAGTTTTTATGAAATAATGCAAGTTTAATTAAATCCAAAAAAATTTAAATGCATTATTTTTCTAATTAACACATGTGTGTGTACCTCACACTAGACCTACAACGTAATGTGCGTGGAACATAATAATTTCGATATATTTATGTGTCTTGCTTAATGTCTGTATTTACAAGAGAAAGGTATACAACGACGTTATTATTTTGACTTTTATTTTGAAACCGGACGCTCCTTGTTGCTTAAACACTATCTTAACGGGAGACTGGCAGTTTTGTGCGAGAAGTAACGCTTTATTTATCATTATTTAAACTTAATTCACTTAATGATTATAATTAAACAATTTGGAAGTGTGTCGATGTGAAGCTTACGCGTTGTTAGTATCTTAAATTCAGTCTATCTATCTATCTATCTATCTATAGTTGTTATATATGATACCTTAATACACATACGACGTTACGAAGTGACTTCAGAATTTCTGAAATTAAGTAGGCTTCTTCTTAAGAGCAGCGTTCTTGACAAAAAAAAACGTCCCAGTATTTTCTATAGAAAAAAATCTTCGTATTTATTCAGTTCATTTCAGGTCAAGGAGACAACCCTGTAAAAGAACAAAAATGGAAAACATACTCAGTATGAAATAAAAGACCTTCAGTCCTGCAGCTATCAAATTCTTCACATACAATGAACAAGAGCTAGAACATCTAAAAGAAAATTCGTTTAGAAAATTGTGTAAAACTTGAAATACTTTCCCATGAAACTTCCTTTTATCTAAAAGAGAAGTGTCTTCCATAAAATGATCAACAGCTTACAATAAAACCAAAATGGTTTATGATAAAGAGTTTATTGATCCCAGAGCAACGTGATAAGATTGTCCTAAAACACTCATACGAGTAGTTTGTTTTGCAAATCCCTCACTTTTGGGTTCATCTTGAGAGTCCCTTCAGTAGAGTGTGTTTCTTGTAGTTTCTTAATATTTCTGTGCCTCCCTTAACATTGTCTGCGTCACTGGGATTTTCACTTCTGACAGCTGGTCTCACTGCACTGAACTTCAGAATATGAGAAGCATCAACTTCGGAGGGGGTGCCGACTTGCCAGCCAATTTCACTTTGCCTGGTATGGGGGCATGGGCGTAATTTCCAGGGGGGTTAGGGGGGGTCATGACCCCCCCCAATAATTAGATCCAGCCAATATGACCCCCCCAATAATCATGCATGTTTCCCCTGTAATGGGTGGAGACCTCGACCCCCCAATGTTCCAGCCAAAGTTACGCCCTTGTATGGGGGGTACCATGTAGGCCGGGACCGTTACTGTTAAGCATAGTTATCCTTTCAGACATTCTGTAAAAAGTTCACACCAATACACTGAAATAGAAAAGCAAAAGTGGTCTGTATAAAGTCTATTTCATAGGAGTTGATAAAGAAAGGGCTGTCAAGCTTCTACCATTTGATTTCTGTTACAATACTATAATGTAATGTACTATTATTCTCATCTTACATTTAGCATACTTAAATCAATAAGGTATGTTAATTTTCCTGTTGTGCTTGAGACAAAAGTCATTCACTGATTAAATATAACAACTAATTTTCAAACCATTTCAAATTGATTAACAGAACTTATTAAAATGTTTAATTGAAAAGGTTGTCATCTTTCATTGCCTGTTGACACAGGTTGTGAATGTTCCTCCGGTGTTGCCCACTTTAATGTAGCTCAATTCGAGACAAGTCTGTACACGCAATTACATGGTGTATGTGAGTTTTATCACCTTGCACATAGTGTGTAGGGTTCCGTAAGCTACTCCAAAGCTTTTGATGTGACTAATTTTAGGTGTATAATGGAATAATATAGATGTTCCGTGAGCGTGAGATTCCGAAAGCGTGAGTGCTGGCAATGTAAGAAGCTGCACCGACATTTCGGATACCGGCGCTTGTCAAACGTGCCGCGCCATCCTTCTTCTATTGGATGGACGCTAACAAAGGAGGTGGGCCCCGAATCAGTCTCGCACAAGAGTGATGGGCCAGCGGACCAATCAAAGCAGCAAACCTGATGGTTTGGGGGGCGGGGTGAGAGAGAGCGAACGCGAAAGGGAGTGAGTGGATTCGCGTGGGGAAGGGGACGAGGGGAGAGTTTAATGTAGAGAAAACACAGGCAAAACGGTATACTTATCACTTTACAGTAGGGGCAGCCAGGTCGATCAGAGGTGGCCATGCTGGAGAAGTCACACGATTTATTTTTTTCCCTTCTTAAGAGTATACATTTGTTTCGGAAAGATCAAAACGGTTGATGCCAGATCCTTCTGAAGCGGACATTTTGGGTTGAGCGAGAAACTTGCAAGTATTTGAGTAACTGGCAATTCAAGAGAAAATGGCGGGATTATATGTATGTCTGTAAATCAGTATCATGAGTAAAACTGTATGATGATTACATATTTAAATAAAGCAGCGATTTGGAAGGGGGTTTTGAATTGTGACTAAAACCTCCCTGTTTTACAGCTACCTCACAAATACATCCAGTACCCCTTAATCCCCCGAGCAATATATTAGCATTATGAAAACTTAAACGCGGTGGTAAATGGCTATTCTTTTATTTATTTATTTATTTATTTTACATCTAATCTTTTTGTCTAGAATTACATTGCAAGAAATTATACCTTGTTTAGGCTAGGTGGTCTTTCTGCTGAACACGTGTATTTGTTGATATCAGCAAAAACCAACAAGTGCTTTCGATCTACTTAGTCGCTAATCTCTTTTTTATGATTCGAAAAAATGCTACAGTAAAGATGCGATGAATTTGTCAAAATTAAGCTTGCCATGACCGCACAATCAAAAATGCCCGTAGTTAGTCTACAGAGTGTATAGCTCAGAAATAGTTGAAACAAGGCATGCATATACACAAATAAACATGATATTTCTAAAACGGCATGTAACGTGAATTAACCAGTTCAAATGCACGAATTTTTTATGCCACCACACACAGGCTTGTTGCATATAAATCTTATATTAAATGTATCATTCTATATTGGCTGTCGTATAAAGTAAACAAAGTTGCCTTGTGTTAGAAAATACTAGATGGTGTATTTTTTGTGTTTTAGGGTTGTAAAACAATTCTAACTTTGGAAGATCACTGGTTATTCATGTATACAAAAACAAACTCTGTCCTTCCATATAAGAAGGTATGTCCCCGTTATCACCCTTATTTTATGTTGGGATACAGGTTGTTACAGTTTAAACAAAATGTAACAATTTATTGTTTATACAATTATGTATTGCTATTTAGTTGACATAATGCATAATCTTGCAATGAAATCAATTAAAACGGTTATTCTGCCATACAGTGTATGGTTTGATTTTTTTATTTTCATTATTATTATTATTATTATTATTATTGATGTTATTGGGATGCATCCTTATATAATAAATCATACCTAAGATTATTATCTAAACAGTGTACAAATATATTCTTTGCAGATGGTTATGTTAAAAACATTTCCGGAGAAGCAATCTCATTGTGAAGAGCACAAGGTATCTTAACAAATAGCTTACAAACACAACTTATAAAAATATTTAATATTAAGCAACAGTGCATGAAATACATCAGTTTTCAGAAGTCTGCTGTTTTCACCCACATTATGAAATGCAAATTTCTATGTGGAATCGTTCAGTGATGACACAATGCAATATTCATAGTAATTAGTTTTCAGTATTATGTATTTAATAATATTCACTGATTTTCTTACTGTGCAGTTCTATAGGCTTTGCCTGTTATGTTCCTGCCTGGCCACGCTGTTGTTTGCTGTTCTGTATCTTCAAAAACTACTGGCCCCACCATCTCCCACTGACCTGGAAGTGCATGCCCACAACATCTCAGTTGCCCATGGCAAAACTTGTTCTGATTCCTGCAGGTGAGCTTGCAGGTCAACTTGTGTTTGAATAAATGCTTGAAATGGCTATCGAATTTCTGAAATGTTTTATTTAAAAAGAGTGGTATTTAAAGGACCTGAAGTTAGGTAAATGTTTTTTCAGTTCCTTTTAGAATACTTTTAAGAGTGTCGACGTGGTCAAAGATAATTTATTTACTTTTGGATTGCTGTAGGATTGTGTTGGTTGAAAGCATTCCTGAGGGACTGGAGTTTAACTCCAGCATCAACCCTTCCATCTACCAGTCCTGGCTAAATCTGATTGGTGAGGCTCAGAGCAGCATTGACATCGCCTCTTTCTATTGGACACTGACCAACAAAGACACGGGCACCCATGAACCTACAGCCTATCAGGTCTAGTTTTCATAGATATGTTTCTGATCTTCTGTCAGGACACCAGCAGGGTCTGCTTGAGGTTTTGAGGCTAGTGTTCCTTTTTTGTTTGTCTTCCTTTTTTAGGGTGAGCAAATTTTGAAAAAACTGATCCATCTGGCAGGGAAGGAAAGTGATGTGTCTGTTCGCATTGCGGTCAATGTCCCTGACAAGTCTCAGCCCATTGAAGATCTGAACATGTTAATGCAAGCAGGTGAGAAACTCAAGTACAAGAACCTTTATGGACAATTGAAAATCCTATTTTTTTTATTGCAGTTTCCAATTAAAAATATAAATATCTAATCAATTCTAGAAAATATAATCTTTAAAAAACCCTATTCCAGAGAAGTAAAACACCTTAATCTGCTTTCTGCTTCTGGTTAATAGACCAAAGAGAACAGTGGTCTGTACTACGAAGCGGGGTTACTGGCTTATCAGGGTAACTTGTCGGATTTAAGGTAGTCTGGGCGAAATGTAAGTGAACAAATATGAAGTCCATTTAAACTGTGGTACCTTAACTCCAACAAGTTACCCCGATAAGCCAGTAAACCCGCTTCGTAGTACTGACCACTGGTAAGACTAGTAACAAACTGAAACTGCGGTGTCCTTTGGCTACAGTGCTGGTATATGCTACACTTGTATTGAGTCATCGGTATCAAACTTACCTATTGAAATTGCACTTGAGCTCATTAATAAAAATGGCAAAATATACACTTTACAGTTTTACCAAAACTATTTATATTTACTGTCATGTGTTGGACTTTACCAAATTAATATTGGTTTAAACCATAGCTTACTTAAGCCTGTATGAGCAAGGGACCAAGATAATTTTCCAGCTCAGTATAGCATATTATGGATGGTTTGCCAAATAGCAGTAGGAACCATTAGCAACAGTCCCACCAATTTCAGCATACATTTTAATGAATATTATATTTAACTACTATATTCTGTTCTGTTTAGTTCACTCCAACTTGAAATATCCCACAATTTTGTCTTTGAGATCTGAAGTTTCAATAGGGTAATTGAAGCGAGACGGACATTGTAGATGAGACTTTGCCTTACTGTTCATCTTATGTTTTGTCCCTGAACAGCTGACTAGTGTGCTTCTCTCTAGCTGAGAATATAAAGAATATTTTTTTTTGTGCTGCACTGTGCTATTTATATGCCTGTACTGTTGTATTTTTAGGAGCTGATGTGAGGCTGGTGAATATGCGAAATCTGACTACCGGTGTGCTACACACAAAGTTCTGGGTGATTGACAAGAAGCATATCTACCTTGGAAGTGCTAACATGGACTGGCGGTCTCTGACTCAGGTGACGTTGTCCATTGACCGAGTTCATCCCTTGGTCAGACTGGATTGCGAGAATGCCAAACTCTTAGTTTTTGAGGAATACAAACAAGGTGTGAGAAAATAAATATTTGGTTGGTGATTGTGTTCTTCAGTCTGTATATATCTTTTTTTTTATACGGTTTATGCATCACTGGAATCCTGCACAGTTAATCTTATCTGCTATGGCCTCATCTTACATTCAGGTGAAAGAGCTGGGAGTTGCCGTCTACAATTGTAGCTGTTTGGCTGAAGATTTGGGGAAAATCTTTGAAGCGTACTGGTACTTGGGTCAGGCTGGGAAAAGCATTCCTTCACATTGGCCAGATAGTTATTCTACCTCATACAACAAGACATCACCCCTAGAGCTGCCCCTCAATGGAACCTCCTCAACTGCGTATTTATCGGTAAATATATCACTGAGGGAATTGTAATTGTAACATAACTACACTGTTCACTGGCTTCCATTGTATTGTTTCTTTTTTTTTACCTTTAGATGACTTTATATTTCAGTTTCACTGGGTTTTTTTGTGCTTTTATCTTTTTTGCATGCGCAGTTCCAGGGAATGTTACTAACCAACCCCGCCGCTGTTGAAGTACTAACTTGGTCCACCTCTGTTGACCTTCCCAGATTGGATGAGATTTTGCTTCTTTGATCTCCTGATTTATGTGACATATGTAATGCAAATAATCCTGAATACGTATTTTAATTTAAAAAAAAAAAAAACCTCAAAACTTGAAAACAGAGTTCTCCACCCTCACTATGTGCTGATGGAAGAACCCAGGATTTGGATGCCATCCTTAGTGTGATCGATGATGCTCAAGAATTTGTCTACATTGCTGTCATGAACTACCTACCTACAATGGAATATTCTCAATCAAAAAGGTATCACATTTGCATTGGCAAATTAACACATTTTAGCAATGCAGAGAAGCAGAAACTGCATTTGTAGCTGATGTTTGTCCAATGTTTTTTTTTTTTTTCTTTTGCTGCCTTGATTTGCAGATACTGGTCAGAGATTGACACTCAGTTGCGACGGGTGGCGTATGAGAGAGCGGTGCGTGTGCGCCTTCTGATCAGCTGCTGGGGTAATTCTCCACCTGCCATGTTTCCCTTTCTACTTTCATTGGCTGCCGTTCAATACGAAAAGAGTAAACTGGATATCCAGGTGGTGAGTGACACCTTCAACTTTAATGGCAATTTCCTATAAATTATTAACAGTAAATCTTTAACAGACATTGGTCTGACCTTTTTGGTTCCTCTCCTCCAGTGTCTTCTGACATTCTTCCTTTCCCTCTTCCCCTTTCCCTGTTTCATGCACTTTTTATATAAATTGTGTAATAATGGATAGACACAAACTCTTGTCCAATGCGTTTGGAGGAACTGTATAGTGAAAAGTGCTGCATAAAAATAAATCGAACTGTATGAAGTATGTTATACATTTATTTCACATATTGTTGTAAAAATAAGAAATGGCATGAAGCTTGGTTGAATTCTTTGTTGATATTTAAATAATGCAGAGGGGGAAAGTTCAGGTTCAGAAAGTACCTGACTCCAGACCAAGATTTTGTTTCAGCCAATCAGTTGAGTATGAGACACATTCACAGAGTACTCAGCTGGTTCAGTGAAACGAAAACTTGGTCTGGATTTGAACTTTCTGGACCTGAACTTTCCAACTCTTCAGTATTGTTGCTAAATGTAACTTTATTGTTGCTAAATGTAACTTTATCCCACAGAAACTGTTTGTTGTGCCCTCCAGTCCTAGTCAAAAAGAAATCCCATATGCAAGAGTCAACCACAACAAGTATATGGTCACAGACAAGGTGGCATACATTGGTATGTGCCTGGTCACTTCAGTCGAATGATGAGAAATGTTTGTTGTAACTGATTGTAATGTACAGGTTTTCCCCCGCTATCTGAAAGTACAGTGTTCCTATGAAACCTTTTCTGAGCCAAAATGGTGTAAAGCGAAGAAGCAGTTATCATTCATTTATATGGGAAAACTTTTTGACTGTCCCCAGGCCAAAAAATTCTAACAAATCATACAAAATAACACACAAAACCTAAAATAACACTAACTTAAAGTAAAAGCAGGAATGATATGATAAAATCACAGTAGAAATAATGTATCAATGTGGATTCACTTACCAGAATCGATACAGTCATGCGTCGCTTAACCACAGGGATACATACTGAAAAAAACCTAATTCGGCGATTTCACCGTTGTGAGAGCATCATAGAGTATACTTACACAAACCTAGATGGTATAGCCTACACACACCTAGGCTACATGCTATAGCCTAAATAACGATATAAATTACAGTATAGTACTACATAAAACAGTAACGCAGTTATTTGTTATCATTATCAAATATTTTGTACTGTACATAATTGTATGTGCTATAGTTTTATACGGCCAACAGTGTAGTGGGTTTGTTTACACCAGCATCACCACAAACACGTGAGCAATGCGTTGCGCTATGACGTTACGAAGCACGTTTCTTTTGGGATCACGGTCATCTTTGCAGTTGACCGAAATGTTGTTATACAGCACATGACCGTATATTGATACCTGGCTCACTGATACAGCAAACACTAAATGCCTTTTTCGCAAAAGTGAAAATCATCTTTGGATTTCTTTCGGTTAGCGATAACAGGTGCTAATGTCGGTCTTTCGTAAAAGCGAAGTGGCGTAAAGCTAACATGCATAAAGGAGGGGATTCCTGTATATTTTGCTTTCCATTTATCTTTAGTTACCGATGAAAAGACAACTGAAAACAAAGGATGACAGAAATGCATTGTAACCCACTTACTGTATCTGACTTGATGTTTTTTACCCCCACTCAGGAACCTCAAACTGGTCAGGAGACTACTTTCTGAACACAGCAGGGTCAGCATTAGTGGTGAATCAGACTGCAGCCCCATCACCAGAGACTACGGTCCAAAGGCAGCTCCAAGCTGTATTTTTGAGAGACTGGGACTCAGTGTACAGCACGCCATTATATCAGCACACTGACACAAGACAGCTGTGTTACCGCTGAGTCAGACGGGAAGGTGCTAATAGAGAAATAGTACTGTTTTTTAGCGGTGGCACCCTTGTTGCTTTGTACAATGGCTTTATTTTGTTTGGAAAATGCTGTGGAAAGGGGTTATTAAATACCAATTTGGTAAGATTATGATTTTTTCCCAAGACAAATTAAGGACATCGCACAGTCAGTTCCACTGCTGAAGGATGTTTAAGATAGGAATTATTTCTCCTAACCATGATGAATTGTAACATTTGTGAGAATCAGGTGTTATTCCCAAGATGTGCTTGAACCAAATGTACTGTATTAGGGTTTTTTTGTACAATTTGGGCCAAGTGGTCATACCCTACTTTCCTAAAGTACCATTTATCAGGAGAGTGATCTCTTGATTTGTATACATTACTCCAATGTCTTGTTGATAAGTCTTGGACAGTCAGAAAAAGTCATATTGTTACAAATTGTTGTTTGGGTTATGGTATTGTATGGCAAATTGTCTGCAAAAATAACCTAGTTTGATGTGTTAATGATTATAATGGCATTATCTAAATTCCACTGAACTTCAGGAATAAATCAAGCATATTTGATTCTGTTTTAAAATGCATTTTTAAACACCATTGTGTGTATGTTTCATATCATTATAATCTGTGTGTGTGTTGAGTGAATGTTAGATTGGGTCTATCCATCATTATCCATCATTTGGAAATGCTTATTAAAAACTCTAGTTTCTTCCCTTGGTCCAATGGCATTTCATTGCTATCAAAAACCTATTTATCAAAATCGCCAAATGAGAGTCTTGCATGGATTCATTTTTGGGTTGCTGTATTTGAGGTGCTCTCATGACCCACACCAAGGTAACCCTAACTCCTGCCTAAAAGTTACAATTAAAAGGTAATTACAAAAACCAAAATGGAGAAAAACATAACACATCAATATCTATGATTGGCTGATTTTATCATACAGACATGAGTAAATGAAATGCGTGATATGTGTCCCTAAACAAACTGTATAATGGCATTAACACTCATTTATTAGTGAAGGAAATGCTCTCTCTGGACAGATAAATAGAGCAAACGTTAAGGTTTAATAGCTAGCTATTGGAGTTAAATGTTTGTTAGTCTTCAGAAATGGTTTTGGAAATGCTAATAGGTATCACCTGTTGATGTAGCATCAATGATCAGTTTGAAAATTGAGAAAGATTTCAGCTATAGCTAAAATTTGGCAGGTTGTTGGCGTTTGCAACTTTAAATTTGGTCTAAAGCATATAAAGTCCTAGAGGAAATGTGCTAATTTAATAGATGTAATAGATGTGCAGCTAATTGGGACACATTGAACTGGCTGGAGCGAAGGTTATTTTGAATTTCCCATTCAGTGGTGTACATTTATGCATGCCTTTGGATGGCAAGCTATTCATTGTTGAGAAGCGTACTTTGAAGATGAGATAGTGACATTGTTTTTTTAAAAAGGATTAATTTGTTAAAGAATTAAGGAATATTAGGTCCTCCAAACCATCCTTGGATTTCATCTCCAATGACTTTGCTGGACTTTGCTTTGGTTCATCTCCAAATGGCATAATCACTTTTCTGAAGTTCCTACCATTATATAATTTAAATAATTGTAACTCTTAATTATAATGGTACTCTACCATCAAATACCTTACTCAATGGAAAAACAAACAAGCATGAAAAATAGCAAGTTCCTTACACTGAGAAATTAGTGAGCAAAAAAATAATAAAATCTGGCTTGTAGATAAATCTATGAGCATGGAAAATCATGCATTATGATTATGAGTCATATGAAAGAGTTTTTGCAACATCGGAAGCTATATACAATAATGCACAATAACAATTAAGGCTACTGTTACTTTGACTGAGCAAATTTCTGTTTTATTTTAAAACATTGCACCACTCATATATATCACTGAGCCTTTGGGAGGCTGAACAAAAGACAGCAAACGAAAGCAGCCAAGGTCGTGACTGTTTGACCTCCCGTAAGGACATCACTAAAGCCCTGTCAAATGCTTTTTGAAAAGAAGAAAAAAAATGGCTAAACTCCCCCATTCCCACAAACACAAACTCAGCTGAAAAGTTGCAGCTCTGCTTCCTTCTCTCCTTTGCGGGACAGGGTCTGTAATCCATGAATGGACATTGAACATTACTCTCTCTTTTCAGTTCCTTTACACCACCTTCATTAGCATACAGATGTGGTTACAAAGGGACCCACCGTCACAATAGATTGCATTGTAAGAATTGTTCTTTTTCTCCTTATTGTTTAATAGGAGTTTAGGTTGGATTTTATTGGATATATATATATATATATATATATATATATATATCCATTTATTAAAAAAAAAAAAAAATTATATATAAAACCTAATATTTTTTGTCAGTTTTGTATGTATTGTGTTCATTTTGTTGTAATTATAGTTCAATTAATTCAAATACAGTTTTTAAATATATATTTGAGGTATATAAAACACTACGAATACACTATATGTACTGTACATATATTGAGAAACTATTATGAGTAACTGAATGAATACAAATGAATGTGTAGAACATACAAGAGATAAAATGTAATTTTTAAGATGAACAGTTTTATTTTAAAAGTGTCAAAAATATATTAAACAGTAAGATTTAATGCACTGCTGTGTAAAAATATGTTAAATTATTTATAGCCGACTTGCAAAATATAGTTTTACTTAATAACGAAATAAATAGGTTTATAATTTACAACTGTATATGCCAAAGTCAAAAGGTTAAGGCAGATGCAACACTTTGTTTCCACCAATATGAAACATTTACCTAAATATTTGAAACAAGCATGAAATAAAACATAATAAAAACACATGAAGGCAAACTTAGTTCAATCATCTAATTAAATACATAGTATTTCTACTAAAAATGCTCTTCTTTGAATCATCTGAGGATATCAAATGACCAACAAAATCATTTACTTTGACTACAATGACTAGTCCACTGTTTCTAAGACTCCTGAAACGTTGCATTTCCAAAACTGTAAAAATTTGTCTTGCAAGATAAAATCTTAATGATAAGCATTTTCATGTGTACAATACAAAATGTCAGATATGAAAAACTGAAATTGGCAGTAAATTTTTACTAACGAAAAAGTGATTAAGCTACTCAAAGCATTTTTTCATTGAATTCATCACAATCTGTATAATAATACAGGAATAAATAAAAAAGAAAATAAAATCCATAATCATAAAATAAAAGTCCTGTGGTTAGACTATCTTACAACATTTTAAAATACAAATATGATTCAGAGCATACACTATTAGATTTAAAGCATTCTTTCACAAATTTGATTCAAAATCATGCTTATGTTTGATGAATCATTTTTATATTGCAATTGACAAATATGTCCAGTTATGTAGTCACTCTTGATAAGGCCTCTCTACCAAAACATATCTTCCTATTCATTCAGCACATCTTTTCCTATAAATGGGTACAAAAAAATTCCTAAACAGAATTCTATTCCTATAAAGCTACCCACCACATCTAAACTGGTATACAACAGTATACAATAATGGGTTCATTTTGATAAACTCGACTGTTTATTCATTAATACCAAAATAGCTTCATAAATGCAATATGCACATATATTTTAAAGAATTGACAGACGACTGAAAATCGGTAGGCGCTTTCCTTCAAGGCTTGGAGATTCACTGCCACTCAGACTGCCAGAACTCGCGTAGCCATCCGGATCAGACAATGAATCGGCAGATATAGTTCTCTGTAATAAAGGCCGCTCTGAGAGTAGGAATGAATTGAAACTGTGATTCTGGCCACTGGTCTTCAGTGTATAGTTTGTATGACCTGTCAAATCGGTTATTGCATTAAAGCAAGGGCTGGCAAGCTGATCGCTGCCAAGCTCAGTGGATAATGGGTAGTTGTTCTTTATCGTCCCTAGTTCCAGATATTCCGAGAAGGCAGGGGACAGGAGTTCTGGCGTTCCAGGTGAAGAGAGGAAAGATAACAGGGAAGCTTTTGAGGATGTCACATGCTGTTGGACAGACTGGAAACCATTGAGTAATATTGGGAGCCGCTCTCTCAGTTGATGTAGTTGCTCGTCTGCATTATGAATGAAATGGCAACGCGAACCATAAGGACAAAAGCCAATTGTGTGGAACGTACGACAAGGTTCTGTTTTGTACTTTGGGTGCCTGTTTAGTCCTCGTAGCTCCTCTATGCCGTGAGCAAACTGACATTTGGTGTCATATTTACAAGTGCCGCTTTCCTCGTAAGTGCGACAGAGCTCAGTCTTATATCGAGTGGACAAAGGGGATGTGGGGCTGGGAGATTTTGGAGATGATAAAGAATTTGTGCTTGTATTAAAATCAGGTGGTGTAAGGCTCTGCATCACGGCCTGTTCATGTTCACCGACACCAATTCTAACATGGCTTCCCTCGATCATGCTGACTGAGCGGTCGACGCGAAAAGGAATATGACTAATCGAGGATCTGGGCAATTTCTGTTGCTGGTCCTGGTTCCAATCCTGGCTTCTATAGTGGATTGGCCAGCAGACAGTCTTGTTGACCATTTCAGTGCTGCTGCTGTTTATCTTGTTAAAGAGTGTGCCAGGACATACAGAGTGACTGCGTTGAAATCCCACTGTGTGCTGCTTTTGATTAGCATATATTGTGCCACCTGTCACATCCAGACTGTGAAAATTCTGTCAAACAAAAGGAATACAAAAGAACATCTCAATAATAAAATGTGTCAAAAGTATCACAGAAAACCTACACTTTTAAAATATCCTCTGATATCACCCTGACTGCGATTACATTAAGTTACATTAGTGGTTACATTAAGTTGCATTCCTGACAAATGTACTTAGATATTACAGAACAATTCTCATTTACAAAATTATTTATAATTTAATACTTAAGATTTGTGAAGAAAATTAAAGATCAGAAAATGAACGCTCACCTTGGAAAACTCATCATCCAGCTCCACAAAGGGTGTCAGAAAGTTTGAGGGCATTATGTTTTTTGCTGTAAGAAGTTATCCAGATATGCAAAAAGTTACCCAGATGCAGCAAGTCCACTAAATGCTCTTTGAAGAAGCTGAGTAAATATACAGACAGCAACAGAACTCCACCTACTCTTAAGAAATGAGGTGTGTCTTCAGTAGAGGCACCTCCCAGTCTAATTTGAAAATGCACCCCTTATTCAAGGGCTTTGACAATATAGGCTAGCACATATTTTGAAATTAGTGTATTCTCACTCTTAGTTTTAGCAGACTAGCATAAATCTCTCACAGGTTTTAAATACCTTTTTATTTTATGTTATTTTTCCATTGACCATTTGAAAAGAATGTATGTATTTAGAAACATTTTTAAATATCTCCATGGTCCCGCACTTGCCAAGTAGTTGTAAGATGAGTGGATATTTATAATATATGTCTAATGCACTAAAAATTACATCATTAATCATAAAGAAGGTAAATGAGGAATTTCATATCTTGGTATATTTCAGGATTTTTTGTATCTTCTAGTTTACGTTTAAAGAACATTTTACAGCATTTTCAAAGTAGAAACACTGTTTTAGTGCAGTGATAGACCATCAGTGATAGAAACAGATATGTCTGTTTCTTAAAGAGTGCGCTGAACTGTGAGAGAGTCACTTGTTTTTACTGGATATTGTTGTTAAAGCAGTTTCACTTCACTTTGTTTTCTCTTCCTTTCATGCCACTCGCAAAACCAAGTACTCAGTTGGGGTGGATTGGTGGGCAATCACATGTCAATTTAATGCTCAATATAGTTCTGTTTTATGTACCCCTGCACAATGTATTTAGCCCAAACTTATTTTTTAGCAAAAAATGTTACCAACCCAAAAGCAACAACAGTGACATATCAAGTGTCAAAGTTGAAAACACTTCTGTTTATCAAAAAGAAAAGATACTTCCTCTTTCCAAATAGCAGTAGAATAGTCAGACTGAAAAAGTATTTATTAAGGACAATGGATCTGCAGAGGTGGCTGGTACTGAAAGGTTCTGCTAATTGTTTCAAACTACAATGGGGTTATGCATATGCTTTCTCAATAGCTATCTGGATAGAAGAGGTTCCGCTCCACCCGGACAGCAGACATCTCAAAATATTTAAGGCAGAGTGGAAGCAATCGTGTTGGTTTTCTACATTCACCGCCCCCCAAAACAAGCCTGGTATTCGTTTTTTTCTTTTCATTCCTTCACCCTCTAGTACCATAGTCACCAAAAATAATGTATTTCTCTCCTTAACCATTTATTGACAGCTTCCTGACACAAAACATACTGCAGTTTTTTTTTGTTTTTTTTTTTGCAGAAACGGGTCCAGGTTTCACAATCAAGGGGAAATTTGAAAATTTATAAAAGGACAAACGACCATGTGTTTAAATAATTTAAGAGTTGCATGGTTACTCAATATATTTTGTAGCATACAATGGTTAGGCTGAATTATACTAGATAGACCGCATATACAGAGATACATATCAACGCTGAATTACAATACCACAAAGGCTGTCTCTTTGCTTTTTCTTCAGTCAGGAAGGAATGACTTTGCAACTGTTGGTATTTGACTGAACCACTTACATAACTGTTGATAACGGCTGGATTACCTAGAACGTTTGTACCATTGTCATAGTGAAAGGAATAAGGAGAATGAATGATTTAAGGTAGAACTATATTTTTTGCAAAATCGTAGACACAGAGTAGCAAAACTAACATCAAGACATGTTGATTTTTTATTGTACATATTGTACATATACAAGTTTCAGAAAAGTGACCAGTTATGTCCCACTTTGGCAAACCCGTCACTAAAATGTATATGTATATGTTTAGGTTTTAAAATGCCAAGCTACAGATTTTAATCTGAAAATTTATAATTTGTGCTGTAACCCTAACCTGGCAAAGCTTTGGGGAAAAAATTAGATACTAATTTATTCGATTATTAAAAGAGCTTTTAAAATGATTAAACATTAACATTCTAAAGATGAAACTATACTTCACAATTGCAATATTGCATAACATTAGAAAAAGCTTGTAATGTTAAAGTGGCATTTGTTACATGAATCGGGTTTATTTTGTATTTTTGTTCCAAGGCCTAAGACTTTTTCTTCTAGAGAATCGTCCATCTGTTTCTTTGGCCAGGGCAAGGGGGGGGGGGGGTTAGGTCTCTTCAGATCTGCCAATTGCCCTTTATCACCATGGAGGCATGGATAGGGGTGGACTCCCCGCCTTCTCTGTGTGCCTCGTAAGAGACTCTTTGTCGTGACATTCCATATGTCGAAGAAGACATTCATCTGGCTGAAACACGCATGGCTGGACAGCAAACAAGGGCGTCTGAAGATCTGGCGCGGGGTGGGAATGGAGTGACCCAGCAGTGCCACTTATCCAGGTCATTGTTCAGCACTAAATACGTTATGAGTCCAATGCTGGTCAAGTAAGCAAAATAATTTGTTCAGGTAGAGGAAGAGAGCGTAGGATTTATGTGCTCACGCAGTTCCCCGTGCTAAGCATCAGACCTACCTGCAGGTAGGGGTTCCCAGACCATTTCTGGAACTCAAACACCCTCATTTGAAGGGATAGATGGTGGTTTTTGATGGACGTTCTTACATAGCCAACTGAGAGATACAGAAACCTTTACAATTAACAAAGTATACAAATATATCAAACTTGCCCTAGACACAGAGTACTGCGCAGAAGTCTTAGGCAGTCAAAGGAAATGTTAAAAGCTATTTATCTGGGTAGTATGGGCAAGGACATAGGTTTGGTCTCGACACTGGTAGGGGCCAAATAAGCCCCCCCCCCCCCCCAAACACACAATATTGGTGGGGACATGAACCTATCCTCAATACCCAAATCTACACCCTTGAGTAAGGAACTAAGAAGTAGTTTTTCCATTTACCAAAAAGTTACAGATGCCTTGTTGGATGGTATGATGAACACCGCTTCAGTATACACACACACACACATACACACACACATACACACACACAGACACACACATATGCAGTAAGATTTATTAGACTAAATATTAGATTGCAGATAGTTTTTTAGAACTTTGATTTTAGGTATATTTCCATTTCTCACACCTCTCCTTAGAAATACTGAGTAACAAGCTGGTGGGCTTAATGGTTTACTCCGTGGTTTACTCCAGCCTAACCAGCATTACTCCTGGACAAACTGCACCCTCCTCTTTTGCTTTGCCAACTGAATCTCACAGATGCATCCTGAATAATTGTAAATTTGTTCCTTAACTTTTCTTTCTTTGAACTTTCATACATAATTTCAAACTTCCCACTATTGGAAATGACATAAAAAAGATAAAGTTGCACCCGTATTTTAATTATTTTTCATAAATTACTAAAGGACATGAAACAAAAACGTAATGAAAATAAGGCAAGATCACTGTGTATTATTGAAAAGGTGTATGGATCAATAATTGCAGTTAGTACTTTTCATTAGGAGCTTTGAGGTGTTTTAAAGGTAAAGTTAATTACTTAAAATGCATAAATAAATGAAAAACTGTTTTACAAATAATATACATTTTGATTATAAATAAAACAGTCTGTTTAAACAAATAAAATTTTACTGCTGGATGTGGCTTAAAAGAAAGACGTTGTGGGTAACTCAAGTCCATGTGGTACTGATAAGGTTCTCCTTTGCATTTTTACAGCTTCCACTTTCATTGCCTTCATATTGATAACTACTGTGCAAGACGTTGTGGTTAGCCCAGATGTAACGTTCATCCATATCAGGACGCAACGGCTACAACCACAGTCAGTTATAAACATCATTAGAGGCATAAGCTCGCCAAACGGAAAATGTTGCATGTTAAGGAAATAGCTGAAAGGTAGCCTGCCTGATATTGCATCGTATACTTGTTCATGCATCCAGAAACAACAAGGTTATTTAATAGTTATTGATTTAAAATTCATTCAAAATACACCGTAGTCTGATGTTCTTCAACTCACAGCATAATATTCAATATTCCATTTACCTTCATTCCAACCAAGGTGTGCTGCTTCTGCTTTGTGGCCCCTGTGCTGCCTGGGATAACCCCCCCCCCCCCCAACCCCCAACCACCTTGTACAGGACAAGATTAGATTAGATTAGATTAGATTAGATTAGATAGGCAGACGGACAGACAGACAGACAGATACAGAAACAGGCAGACAGAAAGACAGAAGGACATACATACAGAAAGACAGAAGGACAGACAGATTAGATAGATAGATAGATAGATAGATAGATAGATAGATAGATAGATAGATAGATAAAAAATTACCATCTATGTTCTTCCACTGTATGTGCAGGTTTCCTCCTGTACTCCGTAAAACATGCTGTTTGTTGAATTAGTGTCTCTAAATTGCCCGTGGTGTTTTATTGTGTGTCCTGGCAATCAATCCAGGGTGTCCTCACAGTTGTGCCCTATAATTCCAAGATATGATCTAGGCAAAAAAATAAATAAATAAATATCTAGCACTGGGGCCCATTATAAGGAGCCTATGCCACTATACCTATTCCAACATAAAGGCAAGATCTGTAGAATCTGTTAAACCATGAGACCCCCTATTACTGTACCAGTGCTGTGACCAGTACCAGGCTCGGATCTTTAAGTAAGTAAACATAAATCACAGTATCGGCTGATTCACACGCTAAGGTAACTTAAAGGTTTCATGGTGTGGCTCTCCCACATGGACATCACAAGATGTGTGAATCACATGTACAAAAACAGTCAAAAATAACTCCAGTGTTGCTCAATAAACTAATACATGCATTCCTCTTAATCTCTGAGGCAGTGTGTGGCTCAGCAGGCTCAGCCTCCATTCCTGTGATTGGAAGGTCACTGGTTTGAGGCTGAAATTTGGCAGAATAGCCACATGTCTGTGGGCCCTTGATTAAGGCCCTTGACCCCCAGCTCCATGGGTGCTGCTGCAGGCGGCTCTCGTGTGTCATGGAGAGGAAGACAGGGTAGGTCAAAAAGAGAACTTCCCCAGAAGGTATCAATGAAGCGTTATTATTATTTTGCAATATTTGTGAGTAAGGGTTAGACTTCACAGATCTCAAGACCTATCTAATAAAAAATGTAGCTAGAGAGTCAACAACTTAAGGGTGCTAAAGTAAATGAAAATAGATTAAACCCAAATGCATTTTTACCTTTTCAACTATACTGTAAAGCAGTTACAAAATCATACTTAATAAATGAAGTTTGATACTAGATACTGCAGTTATAAAACTAAAAATTGACACACAAATTATGACATCTTACAGTTCAAGTTAGAAATTCCATATTTCAACTGCTAGTGTGTGAGGAACTCTGAGGACTTCGACCTTGCATGTAGTTTCAGTTGCTAAAAATAGCATCAAGTTGCATAACTTTCCTGTGCTGTATGGCGTCTCTTTCTGCTTGTCTCACTGAAAACTGCACAACATGCTCAAAATACTTACATGGGAATGGTAGCTACGACTGTGTGACTGATTTCTGAAGGTATTCATCACCCAACTGCTTACCCTGGTCAGGGTTACAGCCTATCCAGGCAGCACCGGGCACAAGGTTGGCATATGCCCTAGTTGAGATGCCCATACATCACAGGGCATATAAATGCAACCATAAATGTAATATATCCATCCATCCATCCATCCATCCATTTTCTGTAACTGCTTGTCCTATTCAGGGTCATAGGGGGTCTAGAGACTGTGGGATGGGGCACCATCCAATCGCAGGGCACACGCACCATTCACACCAATGGGCAAGTTGGTAACTCCAATTCACCTTAGCCTGCTTTCAGACTGTGGGGGGAAACCAGAGTACCTGGAGGAATCCCCACACCGACACGGGGAGAACATGCAAACTCCACACACATGGAGCCATGGTGGAGACTCGAACCC